GGTTCTGTGAGAAAGTAAATGCTTAGCTAATATAAAGTACATTTTCTTTGAAGTAGGAAAATGATTGCAGAAAATTGTTCACACCTGAGCCCTCCCGTTGGTTCAAGGTCCATGGCTCGTCTATGTCAAAATGTGTGTCTCCTCCCATTCCGGGACCTGGGAAAAAAGCATGTGCCAGAGACCCTCCTTCCCCATCGAAGAGAGACATATCGCCATGATACCCAGAGGCAAACAGTAGTATTATGTCAGGCCCCTCACTGCCATTCTTTATCTCATGATATGGGACCTCCTCGAACCGCAGAGGCGTTACTTTCTCCCATACCCGAAAGGCTTTGCGAATAGCCTCATTGGTCTGCTCCTGGCCAACTTTGGGTGAGTGGTTCTGAATACTTGAGCAGGAAATGAAGACGTTTTTTCTGGTCATTATTATTGTGATCAATGTAAGTTGAATTTGTTTTTGTGTTGATGTTTCATTCACCTGTAAGTCAGCTTGTCCTGATCCCACTTGTGGCCAGTAAGTGCGTACCGCTTACGCCGAGCACCTCGCTCCGTTGACTCCTCAAAACGATCAGGCACTCCACAGCGAGGTCTTTTCATGGCCCTGGGAAAAAAAAAACATTATATACATGTATGTATATATATATATATATATACATACATACACACACACGGAAATTTTAACATAAGTTACATATAATTAAATTACATATAATTAATTAATAGTATTAATTATATACTAGCATGTACCATGTGCTTTTAAAAAAATGTAAATTTTATTTTAAGTTTTAGTAATTATTGTATGTGTTTTTGTCATTTTAATTAGTTTTTTGACATTTCTATTTAAATTTGTATCTTGTCCAGTTTTAGTTTTAGTAATTTTAGTATTTCAACTTAAACTTAAGTTTTTTTTGTTAGTTTTTTTCTTCGAACTCTCATATTTCATTGTATTTAATTTCAGCTTTCCATTAACATTTTTTTTCTTAGTTTTTAGTTACCATCCCACACGTGGCACATTTGCCATTATATTTTTAAACAATAATATCTTAGTAAAAACCTTAAGTAATATTGGCAAACTATATATCATTTGAAAGCTTACAATCTTTAGGTTCCATATTTGATTTTGATTTTCAAAATAAATTACAGAGGAGCCGTAATTTATCTATTTGCAACAAGAATATTTTCATACTCCAAAGGCATGTTCAGACCTTTATTTTGAAATAGCAATGAACATGAAAAATCGTAAAAAAAAAAAATGGTAGATACCTCAGTTTGTTTTCATGCCAAGAGTTCAAAAGATAGCATCCATTCAATTATTTTAGAAGGTCTGAAAATGTTTTAAATATAAAGAAAAATAATAATAAATTCACCATTTGTGATGTGGTAGCGAGCTATGACGCACATGCATGTTCTTTGTATGCCTTTCTTAGAGGTTTAATTCACATCAAAATCAGCCAAACTTATCATATTACTTCTGAATAGGATCTCTACTTCATAAATTGTATGAAAATTGTGGAAATAATCGTTCATATCACTCAAAACAAATGGAAATGGAGGCGCCCTTATATGGGTGGTAATGGAGTCTGGTTGTGCCCTAGTGAAAAAGTGTGGTACTGCGCCCAAACAAAATCTTTCTGAAAGTCAATTTACTCAGTTAACTCCACACAATTAAAACAAACTGAGTTTCTGTTGTTGTTTCATAGGCAGTTGAATAAGAGGAAATCATACTTCAGAGTGGCCAAGTCCATGTGTCCGGTAACCTCCAGGCCATAGAAGCGCTGCATATCCTTGATGGCGCTAGAAAGGATCTGGGCTGACTGCATGGTGGACATCTGTCTGCTAGCCTGGGACAGGTAGCCATATGTCCTCAGCCACGACTTTAGGAAACAACAGACAGATAAAGTTGGAGAGTGAACAATGTATTGAAAAACAACTACTACCAAGTACAGTAGTGTGGTGAGGATGGTATTACACCGCAATCATTAGAATTCAAAAGGAAATGTTAAACTAAATAAACACTGCCTAAACTCAAATATTTAAATATATATATATATATATATAAAGATGCTGATTATTTTTTTATGTATGTGTCCAAGGGCGTAGGAATGTCTTTGAGATTGGGGGGGACATATTGGCAACTATAAATTAACGTCTATCCCACCACCATAATAGTAACATACAGTTTGGTGATGTGGTACATAGAGTGGCGGTCTGAGCGTTTTGGGGGCCCTAAGCTGAATTGGATTTGGGGCCCCGTCCCACTACGCGAAGTCACCTGTGCTTGACGATTGATTGACACAAATGTCACGCAATGATCATGCATTATAAATGAATACAGTTTAAATACAAAATAAATACTTAATAAATAAAAAAATATATGCCAACTTAATTTTTTTTTACTTTACTCTTTTACTAACTCTTTGAAACTTCTTAAAACAAACCGTCTCAAAATATATAAAAATAAATTATTTGCTAAAATAATGCCAAAACTGAAAAATCAGAAACAAAATAAGAGCAAGGATTCAATAATGACAATTATTGTTGAAAACTGTAAAATTATTATTGTTTCTCAACTGTCTCAATACAGTGTAACTGTCTTCAAAATATTTTTATTATTATTGTAACAGACTTTTTTGCTCGTTGAATGCGTGTATACAATGTATTTTTCCCCTCGGGGCTTGCCGTAGATGGGTCGTGCGCACTTGCTAAGTTTTTTGGCGTTAGTGATAAAGTGGAGAAGAGTCAAAACTGCTGTGTTTATTATTTATTCAAACTGCAAAAAATGTAGGTGTGTGATATTATAAGTAACATGGAGCTAACAATAATAAATAAATAACAAAAATAACATTGTCAGGTAGGTTAGGACGGGTATGCATTTTTTTGGGTCAACATTTTTCAATATTGAGGGGGACACGTCCCCCCGTTTCCTACGCCAGTGTATGTGTTCAATAACCAATATTTGTATCAATTTTATTGATGCTTTCTGATGCAAAAGAATGATCAGTAAACTATGACAGAAAACGATATCCATTATTTTAATAATAATAGTTACTATTGATGTTATTTACAGTATCATTTTTATTCAAAGTTTTTCTTATCTATATGACCATACATATATTTTCATCTTTGTTTTGGGATGTCTAATTGTAATTTGTCTGCATTTCTCACTTTAGTGTGAATGGCTATTTAAATCGGATATTAAAAGAACCAATTGAGAAGTGAAAAGTATATGAGGAATGTCATAAAAAACATCAGAGTATAAAGTTTTCTTATAAAACACATTTTCAAAAAGCTGTCAAGTCGATTAATCGAGATTATTCGCATCTAACATGAGTTTTTGTTTACATAATATGTGTGCGCGTCTGTGTACACACACATATATTATATATCAAAACTTGTTAGATGCTTTCATTTTCCAATCCTCAGCACCGACAAATACAGCCAAACAGAATTTCACATATCGGCATTAACAGATAATAAAGCCACACCGTTTTTTCGCGTGTTTTTGTACAACACTCAAAACGAGGTAGTCTACAAACCTCTGCGTTGAAAGCTTCTTCTTCTGCAGCTGTTTCAGCAATGTTGACAAACAGCAGGATGAAAATCATACTAATGGGTCTCAGCGAGCGATGCGATCTACCGTTACTCCTGCGGGCTGACATCTCTTTACTCCCGGGACAGCAAAGAGAAATGAACACAAAACCTTCTCCCAGCTTAAAGGAAACCTGAGAGGTTGTACAGTCTTTAACACATCTTTTAGGACTACAACAGACCCACCAATTTAGCACACGTTTCTCTTCTCCGGTCAAGTTTTCCCTCGTGCAAACAGTTCGTAAAGGTCCCCAGTGGCGCGCGCACGATTGTAATTGTAAATTATGAGCAGCAGCTACACCTACTCAATATTGAATAAAATACTACTTGTTGATATTTGCATTGTAGTCTATGTTTAATGTAAGTAAGTGCCGCCTGGAAACCCATCAAATGTCGAGGACCAGGCGGCGTGTGATCAGAGTGATCCGACCTCAATAATTTTTTTTTTTTTTTTTTCAGGACACCAAATATGAGCATGAACTCTCATCTGAATCTTATGCTGATCTGCGGCACGCAGCCGCAACCGAGTCCCTGCCCACTTCTCGGTAATACCCCGTAATGTGTTTTCTTTATAATACACAAACCACATATTTAAAAAGAAAATACGTTACAGATGAGGGGAACAGTAAAGAAATCGGTTGGTTTATTTACAGAACGAAAAAATTAAGCAAATGTGTTCCAATTTTAGTTCTCACTGCCATCTGTTGGCCATATTCAGTACTGTAAAAAAGTTCAATACACACACACACACACACACAAAAAAAAAAAACAATAGTAGCGCTGGTTGATCAAAATGCGTCTCTCTGCACATCTCTCACATTCAAGCTTATTTTTAAGTCAAAAACAGAATTTTCTTGACAGAGCATATAGGAAAATGTGTAAGGGCCCATCATGAAGAGTCCACGCAGGACTACCATTCCAATAGTTAGCTTGTGTTCTTGAAGTAGCTTTGAGTTTTATTTTAGCTTGAGTTTTATTTAGGTGTTTGTCAGGTGTCGTCTTATTCCAGCTTTAGCGAAGCTGATAAGGATGAGAAAGAAGATGCCCAGAGTCCAAATCACTCCCAATGGAAGCACCAATGTGAGGAGATCTAAAATGAGAATCCAAACAGTTCAAACATGATAAAGCATTTGCTACATATGGTATTTATATATTAAACACCATATATAAACATACTTATCTTGGGTCTAACTGGTAGCTCTCGTTTGATTGGTCCATAAGACAGTAGGCCTTGAGCCTGCTCCTCTACAACAACCTCTCTTTTAGATATAGTTTTACATTCCTAAAAATAAATCAGGTTAGCTTAAAAATTGAAAATGTGATTGTCCAAATCCTAACAGGTAAAAAAAAAAATGCTTACAGGAATACAAGACCATCTATCCTCAGGTGTGCAGAGATGCACAGTGCAGTGCAGATAGAAACTGTGGGGCTCGTGTATAAACCGAAACATATCGAAGGAGTAACGGACAGTCGAACCCTCGCCGTTTCTTCCTGAAGGGTGCAGCGTACCGTTACCAAATGAGGTCGTTTTGTCATTTGCGCACCTTAAAGACAAAAAATGAAAACGTCAAGGCATATTTATTTGGAAATTATTGCAACTCAATCTCGTGAGAAAAAGTAACCATTTTACAAGGTGGCGATTTCATACAAAATTGTACAACGCGGTTCGTATGGAAACGTACAAATTTTAGAAAAAGTAAGCATGAAGGCAAGTGGTGCTCCCTGCAGAGCCAAATGACATCCAGCTCCCCCTCTCTGGATGTTATGGGTTGAGTTGACCAAATATATCTATCTAATGGGTGGAGGGGTTGAGTTCTAAATAGATAGAGCTCCACCATCACTGGAACGCAAGCAGATTATAAAAAAAACATACTTAAAGGGTTAGTTCACCCAAAAATGAAAATTAAGTCATTAATTACTCACCCCCATGCTGTACCAACCCCGTAAGACCTTCGTTTGTCTTCGGAACACAAATGAAGATATTTTTGATTAAATTTGAGAGCTGTATAACTACCACATTGGCTCCTAAGGGACTGCCTCTTGACGGCCCAAAAAGTCAATGAAGAAAATGTTTAAATATCCCAAGTGACTACCGTGGCTCAACTATATGTTTATCAAGCGACGCGAATACTTTTTGTGCGAAAAAACAAACAAAAATAACGAGTTTATTCGACTATTTCTTTTCTTCCTTGTAGGCCAGAACGAGACTTCCTTATAGATTTCCACGACGCATGCGCGAGAATTGCGATCTGAAGTAGTGTAAGCTGGTGTAAAGCAGATCGCAAATCTCGCGCATGCGTCGTGGAAATCTAAGGAAGTCTCGTTCTGGCCTACAAGGAAGAAAAGAAATAGTCGAATAAACTCGTTATTTTTGTTGTTTTTTCGCGAAAGTATTCGCGTCGCTTGATAAACATATAGTTGAGCCACGGTAGTCACTTGGGATATTTAAACATTTTCTTCATTGACTTTTGGGCCGTCAAGAGGCAGTCCCTTAGGAGCCAATGTGGTAGTTATACAGCTCTCAAATTTAATCAAAAATATCTTCATTTGTGTTCCGAAGACGAACGAAGGTCTACGGGGTTGGTTCAGCATGGGGGTGAGTAATTAATGACTTAATTTTCATTTTGGGTGAACTAACCCTTTAATACGCCTTAATTCGTGAATTAGTAATTGGCGCGTTTCACCATCAGTGTGCAATGCGCGTGACGTCTACGTTCGTCAATAAATAGCTAAACTGCACGTGTCTTGCGGAAGAACACTGTAGCCAGAGCTACTTCTCCCAAAAATGAAAATTCTGTCGGTATTTACTCATCCATGTGTTTATTTGTTCTGCTAAACACAAAGAAAGATATTTGGAAGAATGTTTTAATCAAACAGATCTCATTCCCCATTGACTACCATATGTATTTTTTTTTTTGGTAGTCAATGGGGAATGAGATCTGTTTGATTAAAACATTCTTCCAAATGTCTTACTTTGCGTTCAGCAGAATAAATAAACACAGAGAGGTTTGGAACAACATGAGGGTGAGTAAATACTGACAGAATTTTCATTTTTGGGTGAACTAACCCTTTAATGTCTATGGCACGCAGTCGCTGGGCAACTCCGTATCCGAGTCGACTTATTATAGGCGTACCGTAGTGATTCATCATAAGTCAAAAACACGCTTTGGAAAATGGATTCATGATGTAGCCTACTCGTTCATTTTGAACATCAGGTATGGACACTTGGTCTTGGATTTACCATTTAAAGTTAAAACGATTTCCAATCTCACCCGTTTGCCAGCAGTGTGTGGCTAAAGCCTGACTTATCATTAGCTTGAGGAGTCTGTGAAGCCCAACACTCGTTGACTTTCAGATGGAAGAAGTCTTCTGGCTCCGTCACTTGAATCTGCACGTAGATTTGATCCCCGAGCTTAATAGTAGGTGGGCTGGTGAAAGCCTCAATGTATGTGTGGTCTTTGAACAAACTCATCTCCACCTTGGCATCCACTTCATCCACCTTGAACATTCTTTTACTTTAAAAATGATCAAATCAGTTGAATACACTTCCTTTATCAATGTAATTTAAGATCAGAGCATTAGGGCCTACCTAGAGAAAGAGATGATTGGAAACGCCAGGCTAACTCTGCGGATGTATGGATAGATGCACTTGTACTCAATCTGCACAATCGGATCTCTCACAATGTTTCCGTAGACAGGTGGGTCAGACATCAGTGTTAAAGAGTAAACAATGTGTGTTATGTTCTTCTGTTAAGAAGAGTAGATGCCGTTTAGGAATATTTAATATGTAAATGTTTTTTTTTATTTTTATGAGAAACAGTACTTTACCTCCAGAGGTTTACCTCCACAGGCTGAGTACTGGTCCATTGGTGTGTGCACTGTGAAATATGCTGATCCAGAGACCTCCTCTCTATGTGCACAGCAGCTGGCGTTAGGCAAATGAACCGCTTCAACTCCCACATTGTAGTATTTGAAGAACTCTTCATCCACCAGGATGGAAATGAAGTCTTTGCCACACGTCACATTCATTGTTGCGACTTGAAAAGAAAATTGTCCATTTAAAACAACATGACAAAGAAAACAGCTGGTTTAGTCTTAGTACTTGGCAAAAAGCTTGCATGGGGCTGGTAGATAAATTTAAACAATCTAAGCAAATCAACTGGTTTAAGCAGTCTCTTTCAGCAAGGCTGACTGTCCTTTACCCTGGTCACAGAGATCTCCGAAGTAGCCAACTGCACATTTACAAGTTTGCCTCAGCGACAAAATGCAGGTGGCCGGGTCAGAACATTGTGATATCTCACATTCACCTGGATGAAAAATGGCTTTAATAACTACACTTCACTGAGATGACACCATTTCCATCAAGTTATCTTACCAGAAATACTCCCAGCAGCACAAAGTAAGGCTGCAATATGGTAAAGCACCTGTGTGAGGAAAAATTACACGTTAAATCTTACACTAAAACACTGATAGCCTATTGTATTTCACCCCAAATAAAATAAAGTTACGCATTCACACCTTTGATATCTGATACCGTGCCATTTGTGTCACAAAAAAAATTTGATTTTTTTTTTAAATTAGCGTTTGGAAAACTATTTTAGAAAATAGCAATTTTAAGTAACCTATATTTAGTGTATATGTCAAAGGGTTCTTATTGAAGTTAACATGGATTAAATACTTCAGAGATGAAACCTTAAATTAATTTGATGAGTCACACCTGCTGATCGGTGTATGACATCAGAGTAACGAGAGAGCGATTAGAGTTGAACTAGTGGACCACCAAGTGGACGTGGACTACATTTTTTTTTTGAGGTACAGGCAAAAAAAAATAATTAAATTAAAAAATAGACAATTAATAAACATATTATTTAAAATATAACTTATACCCTAATGATAGGTCATACATACACACATCCAACTTTTTTTCAAGAAATAAAACCTCAGCCATTTTTTTTTTTTTACCATATCAGAAATAGTAAAAGTAGTATGCTAGCTAGTATGCTGTTCAGTCATGTGTTTTCAAAGAACATGTGACTCTTGACGTAATCAAAACAAATCCATTCATCGGAGCTCGATTTACCAGCCGTAGATGTTTGTAGGAAGTCATGTGAGGCGGGATATATGGCGGCTGTGGTCAATTTTTTACATTGAAAAACACTGCGATCTGCTTCTGTCATCACTGGCGAGGAAATAATTATCTGGTTTATGTTCTGTACAGAAACAATCGTTTCCCCCGGATCATCGGCTCTAAAGTATTTAAGTTATAGAGGGCTTTTATTCTGCTTTGGCTGTAACTGCTCATCATCATCTGCTCCCCGCTTCCAGTTTAGTGTCGCAGACAGCAGGTCCTGTTATTTTATAAGTGATGCTTGAGATGAGATTCTGACTCGGAAACAGATTTTAGGGCGCCGTTTTTGTTTGTAACAATACAAGCGTGTGATGACGAAAATCTCTTAGATTAAATATTAACACATGTATTCCGTCATACACTAACCGAACTGTCATCTAATGAGACATTCTCTTTATTCACCCACGAGCTGTATTCAAAGACCAGTTTTAACTCTTATAGTTGTCTCTTATGCGTAAGTTAAGTTTTTTTCCTGAAATACTTGGAAAAAATGAACACAGAAAAGGATTTTTCTCCACTGACACCAAACATTGTGAGAGCCCTCAACGACAAACTGTACGAGAAGAGGAAGGTGGCAGCTCTTGAGATTGAAAAGTGAGTCATAACCTATTA